CTATCTATCTACACACACACACTATAATATATATATATATATATATATATATATATATATATATATATATATATATATATATATATATATATGTATATATATATATATATATATATATATATATATATATATATATATATATATATATATATATATATGCATATGCATATATATATATATATATATATATATATATATATATATATATATATATATATATATATATATATATATATATATGTATATATATATATATATATATATATATATATATATATATATATATATATATATATATATATAGATAGATAGATAGATAGATAGATAGATAGATAGAGAAAGATAAATATAGGTAGGTACATATAGATTGATAAATAGATAGACACAGATACATATAGAGGGAAATATACGTATATATGTGTGTTTGCATAAATAGACGGATACAAAATGTGTGCATTATATATATATATATATATATATATATATATATATATATATATATATATATATATATATATATATATATATATATATATATATATATATATATGTGTGTGTGTGTGTGTGTGACTGCAGCGATATCTCAGTGGTTAGAGCACTGGATTCCGACCCTTGTGGTCCCGAGTTCGATTCCCCGTCGCGGCGGTCGTAAAAATGCTTACGCTCTGACAGCTCGCTCGAGCCCGAGAAAACGACATATCGCCTTGAGAAGACAAACGCAGGTGTCGTATGGGAATATCACCGTCGCGGCCGAAACGCGGTTGATTAGGAAGGGCATTCAATCAGGCAAGGGTGACACTGTCATATAACCTCTCAATAGTGAACTGAGAAAGGCCTATGTCCTGCAGTGGACAGTCTAAAATGAAGAAGCTCGGCGAGGGGGCATACGCTGAGGTGTATGCTGTGGGTCCGGTCGGCCTGCCTCCTCTGTGCATGAAGGTGTACAAGAGGCAAAATGCCTAACACCATTTCGAGGAGGCCGAGATTCTGCATAAGCTGAAGAATGTTCCTGGACTTCCCAAGCTGGTGGGCTTGTCCCTCGACCCCGCCGCGGTGGTGATGACTTGCAACTGGCACCTGGAATTCTGTGACTGGATTTGCAGGTAATTCGACATGGACGAGTACCTCAAGATTCTTCTGCAGCTCAGCATCATCTTGCACGGCCTTCACATGGAGGGATTCTCGCACAACGACCTCAAGAGCGACAACGTGGTTATCAACGAGCGCAACATGCCGACCCTGATTGACGTGGGCCTTTTATCGTCCTTGAACAGCCAACCTTATTATCACAACGCTGTTAAGGACCCCCGGGAGCTCGAGAGAAAGCGCGCGATGAGGCATGCCCACTTGGCCCCTGAGATCTACCGCGGAGGATAAGCTCTTCCCAGTGCCGACGTCTACTCCTTCGGTAAGATCATGCGCACTGCATATATGATATCCTACCACGAGTACGTCCCTGAAGTCTCTTACCTGATCAGGAAGTGTAAGTTGACCGACCCGGAACTCCGCCCGACGCTTCCAGAGATCACGAGGCTGCTCGCTACCGCGCTTTGGCGGCGTAAGGACAAGCTGGGAAAAAGACGACGGTGACAGTGACACGATGTCGCCTCCTGAAAGAATGAGAGCTTTTATGTAATGAATCACTACATCCCAAATATAAATCTACGGCTGCTACGGCTGTTGGGCTTAATGATTATTTCGCTTCATGAATGAGACTGCCGCGATTGTCCAGTGGTTAGAGCACTGGACTCCAACCCTCGTGGTCCCGAGTTCAATTCCCCGTCGCGGCGGTCGTAAAAATACCTGCGCTCTGACTGCTGTCTCGAACCGGAGAAAACGATATATCGCCTTGAGAAGTCAAACGCAGGTGTCGTAGGGGAAGTCACCGCCGTGGCACAAGTGCCAGCACGCCGAACCGTGGTTGATTAGGAAGGACATCCAATCAGTTAAGGGTGACATTGCCATATAACCTCTCAATAGTGAATTGAGAGAGGCCTATGTCCTGCTGTGGAATGAATGGCTGTAAAAAAAAAAAAAAAAAAAAAAAAAAAAAAAAAAAAAAAAAAAAAAAAAAAAAAAAAAAATATATATATATGTATATATATATATATATATATATATATATATATATATATATATATATATATATATATATATATATATATATATATATATATATATATATATATATATATATATATGTATGTATGTATATATATATAATGCACACACACACACACACACACATATGTATACACACACACACACACACACACATATGTATACACACACACAACCTTCTTCCCTGCCTACCTCCTCATTCTACAGCCATAATAAAATACAATTCTTTCCTTCCTTTCGCAGATTTATCGATCGAACAACCACTTGGTGTTGCTGAGGAACCTGACTTTTGAATCGTCTGGAATCTACAAGTGTGAAGTGTCAGCTGATTCGCCGCTGTTTCACACTTATTACAATGAGAGTTTGATGGTCGTTGTGGGTGAGTCATTGATTTCTGTTCGTTAGATTATTAATATGAAGTACTGGATTAATAATATTAAATACTGGATTATTGATATTAAATATTGGATTAATGATATTAAATACTGGATTATTAATATTAAATACTGGATTAATGATATTAAATACTGGATTAATGATATTTAATACTGGATTATTAATATTAAATACTGGATTGATGATATCAAATACTGGATTATTGATATTAAATATTGGATTAATAATATCAAATACTGGATTAATGATATCAATACTGGATTATTAATATTAAATATTGGATTAATAATATTAAACACTGGATTATTAATACCAAGTACTGGATTAACAATATTAAATACTGGATTATTAATATTAAGTACTGGATTGTTGAATGCAATTATGGGGTAAATTGACAATTCTCTTTATCTAGGTTATGGGCTCATATTCCATATTTATTTTATTTGTTATATTTGTTTATTCTTTATTTGATGATTCTGTTTCTGCTCTGTTTCCCTCTTCATTTGTCTGTTTACTTGGTCGTTCTGTTTATCAGTGTATTCTTTTGGTTCTTTTTCTTCGTTATTCTTTTCTCTGATTCTGCTGTTTATCATTTGAAAATTATTTGATTATCCTATTTCTGCTTTTCCTTTGTTTATCTGATTGTTCTTTGCTTGTTGTTTATCTAAATATTTCATCGGTTCATTTGATTTTTCTCTTTACTTGTTTATTTGACTATTGTAATTACTCACTGATTTATTTTATCACTTCATCTATATCTTTATTTTATTTCACTTATTCATCTATTTGAAATTTTCATTTATTTCTGGTCATTCAATTGACTTCTTTATTTATCTGATTATTTTATTAATGTCTATATATGTTTATTTGCTTATTCCATTTATATATATATATATATATATATATATATATATATATATATATATATATATATATATATATATATATATATATATATACGTGCATATACATATGTGTGTGTGTGTGTGTGTGTGTGTGTGTGTGTGTGTGTGTGTGTGTGTGTGTGTGTGTGTGTGTGTGCGTGTGTGTGTGTGTGTGTGTGTTTACGCACGTATGTATATATATATCCCACCGAAGTGCTACTGCACGAAGAATAATAGGTACTGCGCTGTTAAAAGCGTGTGTTTGTTTACATGACGTGTGTGCGCGCCATGTATAGACACACAATGGAGCTTTTGATATCTCTCGCAGCAGCCTCTGGATTTGATGTTTAATCACATACTGAGGATTTGTACCGCTGATCAAAAGTAGGCATTTTCCTGTACGATAATGAGGCAGTAGAATAATTGAGATCGGTGATTTTTTCCCCGATCTACAAACATTTGATAAAGTGCAGCCGTTTGTGCTGCAATGGTATTATTTTTAGAATCAAAATTATTACCATTATTTTTATTATTATTATTATTATTGTTGTTGTTGTTGTTCTTCTTCTTATTATTATCACTATCATTATTATTATTTCACTATTATTACCATTTTCATTATTGTTATTATCATTATTGTTATTATCATTGTTGTTATTATCATTATTATCATAATCATCGTTATTATGATTATCATCATCATCATCACCACTATCATCATCATCATAATCATCATCATCGCCGTCGTCATCATCATCATCACCATCATTATCATTATCGTTATTGATAAACACCCTTTTATACACTGTAAATATATATATATCTATAACATATTTTCACTAAATATTACAGTCACATTAAATGAGTAATGAATTATGCACATGATTTAATTACTGTCACATACAAACGTATTTCTGCTTGATACAAGACAACAGTATAAACAGAATTAAAATAATGATGTTGTCTACTTATTACTTGTTGAAATGATACGTCAACTTTTTCTAGTGTTGCATTTCAAGTATCAATAGTTAGTTAGTATTATGCCATACACCCACAGCGACCAGTCAGTATTACACTGCCCCCGCTCCCCGTCCTTCCTCTGTGTACAGCTCTTCTGCAGCCCCTCTCCTTATGTATCTGTCTGTCAGTCTGTCTGTCTTACTCTCTCTGTCTTTTTTTTTTCTCTTCCCCCTCTCTTTCTCTTTCTCTCTCGCTCTCTCTTCTCTCCCCCTTCTCCCTCCCTCTCTCTCTCTCTCTCTCTCTCTCTCTCTCTCTCTCTCTCTCTCTCTCTCTCTCTCTCTCTCTCTCTCTCTCTCTCTCTCTCTCTCTCCCTCTCTCCCTTTCTCCCTCTCCCCCCCTCTCTCTCTCTTTCCTAAAAAGAAAAGGAATGAAAATCAAGAGCAAATCAGACTAATAGCTAATCGACATAAAATCCCAGCTAGTATAGGACAGTCCTCTCCCCACTCGACCCCGGGATACACTACAATCTTCTATGCAATATAGCACCCTCTCTCCCTCCCTCCCTCATTTCTTTCCCTCTCTCCCTCCCTCCCTTTTTATTTCATTCCCTCTCTTCCTCCTTCCTTCCTCTCCCTCCCTCCCTCCCTCATTTTTTCCCCTCACTCCCTCCTTTCATCCTCTCCCTCCCTCCCTTTTTATTTCATTCCCTCTCTCCCTCCTTCCTTCCTCTCCCTCCTTCCCCTTTTCATTTCATTCCCTCTCTTCCTCCTTCCTTTCTCTCCCTCCCTCCCTCCCTCATTTCTTTCCCTCTCTCCCTCCTTCCTTCCTCTCCCTCCCTCCCTCCCTTTTTTATTTCATTCCCTCTCTTCCTCCTTCCTTCCTCTCCCTCCCTCCCTCCCTCATTTCTTTCCTTCTCTCCCTCCTTCCTTCCTCTCCCTCCCTCCCTCATTTATTTCCCTCTCTCCCTCCTTCCTTCCTCTCCCTCCCTCCCTCCCTCATTTATTTCCCTCTCTCCCTCCTCCCTTCCTCTCCCTCCCTCCCTCCCTCCCTTTTTTTTATTTCATTCCCTCTCTTCCTCCTTCCTTCCTCTCCCTCCCTCCCTTTTTCATTTCATTCCCTCTCTCCCTCCCTCCCTCCCTCATTTCTTTCCCTCTCTCCCTCCTTCCTTCCTCTCCCTCCCTCCTTTTTTCATTTCATTCCTTCTCTCCCTCCTTCCTTCCTCTCACTTCCTCCCTCATTTCTTTCCCTCTCTCCCTCCTTCCTTCCTTTCCCTCCCTCCCTTTTTCATTTCATTCCCACTCTTCCTCCTTCCTTCCTCTCCCTCCCTCCCTTTTTCATTTCATTCCCTCTCTTCCTCCTTCCTTCCTCTCCCTCTCTCCCTCCTTCATTTCTTTCCCTCTCTCCCTCCTTTCTTCCTCTCCCTCCCTCCCTCCCTCATTTCTTTCCCTCTCTCCCTCCTTCCTTCCTCTCCCTCCCTCCCTTTTTTATTTCATTTCCTCTCTTCCTCCTTCCATCCTCTCCCTCCCTCCCTTTTTCATTTCATTCCCTCTCCTCCTCCTTCCTTCCTCTCCCTCCCTCCCTTTTTTATTTCATTCCCTCTCTTCCTCCTTCCTTCCTCTTCCTCCCTCCCTTTTTTATTTCATTCTCTCTCTTCCTTCTTCCTTCCTCTCCCTCCCTCCCTCCCTTTTTTATTTCATTCCCTCTCTCCCTCCTTCCTTCCTCTCCCTCCCTTCCTTTTTTATTTCATTCCCTCTCTTCCTCCTTCCTTTCTCTCCCTTCCTCCCTTTTTCATTTCATTCCCTCTCTTCCTCCTTCCTTTCTCTCCCTCCCTCCCTTTTTTATTTCATTCCTTCTTCCTCCTTCCTTCCTCTCCCTCCCTCCCTCCCTCATTTCATTCCCTCTCTTCCTCCTTCCTTCCTCTCCCTCCCTCCCTTTTTTATTTCATTCCCTCTCTTCCTCCTTCCTTCCTCTCCCTCCCTCCCTCCCTCATTTCATTCCCTCTCTTCCTCCCCTCCTTCCTTCTCTCCCTCCTCCCTTCTATTTCTTTCCCTCTCTTCCTCCTTCCTTTCTCTCCCTCCCTCCTTCCTTCCTTCCTTCCTTCCTCTCCCTTTTTTCTTTGCTTCTGAAAAGAAATAATAGGAAACAGTTTTAACCTAAACTCTAGTTATTATAACCCTCCCCCCCCCCTTACCCCTGCCCGTCTCCCTACCCGGTGCAACACCTCTTCTACCCCTCTCCCCCCCCCCCTCCACGGATACCCAACCTCCTCCTCCCCCCCTCCACTGCCACCCTCCTACCATCCCCTTACCCCCCCCCCCCCTTACTCTCACCTACCTCCCATTTTCTCTCCATTTTCTTGAAGTTTAATAATATACAAATCGCCAAGATTAATGTCTGTTTGCGTGGCTCATTAACCCGACTACCGCCAGGCCTAATGCAAACAGTGCTTGACAAAACCACGACTACAGTTATGAATAAAAAACCCTTGGCCGACCATGCAGTGCTTTTCTCCGAGACACACTAATGGGAGTTGTGTGTTGAGCTCAGATGATTTAACATGTGGCGGTTTGGGCTGTACGCGTGTGTGTTTGCGTTTGTAGCCTTCAGGTTGAATGCGTGTGTGTATGGAATAAGCTTGAAAGTGTGTGTGTGTTCGTGTGTGTGTGTGTGTGTGTGTGTGTGTGTATGTGTGTGTGTGTGTGTGTGTGTGTGCGTGTGTGCGTGTGTGTGTGTGTGTGTGTGTGTGTGTGTGTGTGTGTGTGTGCGTGTGTGCGTGTGTGCGTGTGTGTGTGTGTGTGTGTGTGTGTGTGTGTGTGTGTGTGTGTGTGTGTGTGTGTGTGTGTGTGTGTGTGTGTGTGTGTGTGTGTGCATATGTGTGTGTGTGTACGTGCGCGCGCGCGAGTGTTTGTGTATGCGTGCGTGCGAGCATGCGTTGCGTGTATTTAAGTGAAATAATGAGAAATCAGTAACCAAGCGCATAAGCTGATCAGACAATGAATATGTTTATACGTTTACTCAACTACAGTAAGTTTGCTTAGGCACACATCTTACAGCTCTGCATGTATGAATTCGCGCGTGACCTGATAATAGCAATAATAATGACAGAAGTACACGCATCCAGACCTTATCGTAGAGAAAA